TGTACAAGCATCTGCTAGGCTTCTGGTGAAGCCTCAGGAAGCTTTTACTCCTGGCGGGAGGCAAAGAGGGAGCAGGCGTGTTGCATGGTGAGAGAGGAAGCAAGAGAGAGGAGGCATCAGGCTCTTTTAAACAACCAGCTCTCCAGTGAACTATTAGAAAACTCACTCATTGAATCACTTGAACCTGGGAGGTGGAGGTTCCTGTGAGCCGAGATCGTGCCACTGCACTCCAGCTTGAGCTGTGAGTGAGACATTGTCTCAAAAAAAAAGAAAAAAAAAGAAAAAAATAAGAAAACTCACTCATTACTGTGGGGAGGGCACTAATCCATTCATGAGGGATCCCCCACCATGATCCAAACACCTCACACTGTAGGCCCAACCTCCAGCATTGGGGATCACATTTCAACATGAGATGTGGATAGGACAAGTATCCAAACTATGTCAGAGGCCTCCCCCTCCCTCTCATCAGAGTCTTCTGTCCTCAGTTCAGGTGCCTGCTGGCCTCCATGCCTGGCTTCCTAGGAAGTCATCTTGGCCCCAAGGGGTTGGGTGGGGCCACTAGGCTGAGGGTTGAAGCCCTACCTCTCCTAGTCCCAGCCTGGGTCTCCATCACTGACTTAGCTTGCTGCGTTCTCTCCACACCTGCTCCCTGTAGCCCAGGGGTCAGTCTGGGTGCAGGCCTGGGTAGAGGTCCAGGAGCAGATTCTGCCCCCCAGCTCATATCTCCTGTGCACCATGGCAGCCAAAATGCACCAGCGTGGCCAGGAGTGGTGCCTTGTCCCTGTAATCCCAGTGTTTTGGGAGGCTGAATTGGAAAGCACTTGAGACCAGCCTGGGCAACATAGCGAGACCCTGTCTCTACAAAAAATAAAACTAGGCATGGTGGCGTGCACCTATAGTCCCAGGTGCTCAGGAGGCTGAGGTGGGAAGATTGCATGAACCCAGGAGGTCAAGGTTGCAGTGAGCTATGATTGAGCCACCACACTCCAGCCTGGGCCACAGAGCAAGACCCTGTCTCTAAAACAAGAAACAAAGTGCACCAGCGTGTGGATACCAGCTTCTCCTGGTGTGTGGACCTGACCTCACTACTTGGCTCCATCTGTGAGTGGGAGACTGCCTCCTGTCTTCCAGAACATTCCCGACACTACACCTGTGTCCCTCCTGCATTCTCTGGCGGGCTTTGTGAGAGGGCCTGTCACCTACCTCTCTGGCTGCCCTAAGACCCAGCTCAAACCTTTGCTGTCCCTGAGAACCTTTTCCTGAAGAGTCTTTCCCTGAGCCACAGGCCCCCTCATTTCAGAGCTTTTGGTGGCGTGAGTACAAGGATCAACTCTGCTACCAGCCTGAGAGGAACTGTCCCTAGGGTTGGGTCTCTGGATGGCATGTGAGGGTCTACACCAGGACCCACATACCTGTAACCTGAAGGGTAGGCCCGTGGCTGCCCCGGCTTCACAGATCCCCATCTAGCCTGACCTTCTGGGACAGGCCTGACCCCTGCATCCTTTGGTCTTGGTCCCTACTGGGAACTCTGGTTACCCTGGCTTACCTAGGGCTGACATTCCCCATGAGACAGAGTTACAACTGAGACTAATGTAGGGGTACCTGGCTCAGGGTCACCATGGCCATGCAGAGCTCAGATCCTGGCCATGTTCCACCTCCACCTCCTGAGTTCAAGTGATTCTCCTGCCTCAGACTCCTGAGTAGCTGGGACTACAGGCGCATGCCGCTACGCCTGGCTAATTTTTTGTAGTTTTAGTAGAGATGGGGTTTCACCGTGTTGGCTAGGATGGTCTCGATCTCCTGACCTCGTGATCCACTCACTTCAGCCTTTCAGTGTTGAGATTACAGGTGTGAGCCACCGTGCCTGGCCTCCCCAACACCCTTCTAGCCCTGGTGCCCTACAGGGTCTACCTTGGAGCACCTGGAGCCCAAGAAGCTGCCCCTCACATTTGTGATCCCTGGGACCCACTCCCTGATCATGATGAAGGTGGACCGAAACCCGCTGGGGTGCCTGATGGAGCAGGGTCAGCCTCTGCCTCCCACGGCCTCTCTGATGGGGAGGATGTTATCTCAGCAGCATGAGCTGGGAGCAGAATTGGGAAGATGGGAGGTTTTCTCTTTGGGTAGCTCTGGGCACCAGGGTGGAGCCCTCTTAACCTGGCCCTTCCCCTGTGACTCTCCTTGGCCCCAGGCAAAGAAAGGGACAGAGTGGGACCTTGGTTCTTTCTCACCCAGCTGCAACTCCCCCTCCCCCCATCCCTTCCACCAGGTGATGGAGAACCTGGCATGCTGTGCCCCATAGAAGAGTTCCCTTTCCTTCTGGTGAGGGATGGGAACCAGCTTGGGGTGGGAGGGATGAGGGGGCAGGGGGTTCTCCCAGCCCTGCCTCACATTTGAAGGATGCCATCTGGGCGGCAGCATGGTTTAGGTTAGACCAGGTGGCCCCTAGGTTTATAGCCTGGCCTCGGGCAGGATGCTGCCATGCCACCTTTTCTTCTGCACATCCTGACCTGGCACCCTACTTAGTTAAAGGTCCTCAGGCCTCCTGCCCCCTGGGCATTGCCGCCACTCCCTGCCCAGGCACAGCTGTCCTTGTCCTGGACTAATCTTCAGAGATTCTTGTCCAGCCCACAGCTTTGCTAGACATCACAGGCTGGGCCAGGCCCCCTGCCCGGCACTAACATCTCTTTGTGAGTCTCAACCAGACTGAGCTGCAGCTTCAGGGTCAGGGTAGGTGCTGACTTAATTGATGTGACCCAGGACAGGGGGGTTTATTGATGGTGTCACATCTGCTTAAGTTCTTGGCCTGTATTATCTCTTTGGGGCACAATACCCCTCTGTCCCATGCTTAGATGCCCGCATGTGGCCACAGTGCCTTCCCTACCCCCATCCCTACTTGAGGCCGGTGTTCAGGCACCTGTGGCTCCAGGCAGAAGGCTGAGTGCAGAGCCAGGCCTGGGCAGATGTTCCACAGGGGCTGCAGGAGCTGACAGCCCTGACCACCCAGCCCGTGGCCATCCATTCCCCTTCACCGAGGCTGACCCCTCATCCACCATCCTTCCAGGGGCTAGGCCTGGGCCCAAACTGACTTTTGCCTGCCCCTGGTGCCCGTCGTGTTGTTGGCTGAGCTTGATGGTCTTGCCCATTTCCTTGATTATCCTCAATAAGAGGTTTATAGAGCCACATGGGGACATCACATCTCCTGTCTACCAGGTCCTCACCAGAGACAGGACTGCCTTGGACCGGGCCTGGGATAGTCAGGGGTCACACTCGCCTGTTGGGACCTAGCTTCAGCGGCTTCAGTCTGGGCAAGGGCCTGATGGGCGGCTGCCCCTTCTCCTCTGCTTGGGGGAGGCAGGAGAGGAAGGTCAGGCAGGAGATCTGCTTCCTGCCCACCTGAGGCTGGTTGGAAGCAGGGCGCCCACCTGTGCCTGTCTCACCTTGCTGCAGGTGCATTGGAGGCTGAACCCCTCTCCTGATCTCCTGCAGGTGCAGATTCCAGGTTTCCAATGGGTGTTGGGGTGGGCTCCAGTGCTCTCCTGGCCCTAGGGAACCCTGGGCTCCATGAGGCCTTGGCCTAGCCAGATTGTTTCCCACACTGTCACCTCCCCAAACATGGGGCTGCATGCTCTGTGCCCTGGGTGGGACATTGGAAGGAGTTCCACCTTCCAGGTTTGGATCACAGTAAAGCCTCTGCCATGGGGATGTGCTGGCCGAGACAGACGGGGTTGAACCATCCCTGTCTCTTTAGCCTTGGGCAAGTCACCTGTGCCTTGCTTCCCTTTCCCCAGCAGCCAGATGGGGATAATAGGACCTATTTCACCCATACTCAAGTGGTCACTTGTTAGCAGGAACTGAGTCCTGGAGGAGGTGCAGGGGGAACCATCGAGGCAGCACTGCAGCTGGACCTGGCCTGACTCCCAGCTCCTGGCTGTGAGATGCATCTCTCCCTCTGTTTATTCATCTGAAGGACAGGGCTGTGCTCTTCTGGGGTCACTGTGACAATGCAGCTGGCCTGTGTGAGTTGGTGGTGGCCTACTGAGATGGTTTGAGGTGAGCTGGAGGTGTGTCTTGAATGCTCCCTCGTCCCCCGTGGGGAAGATCCACTTAGGGAAGACTCACGTGTCTGTATGGAGGAATACAGGTTCCCTGCCCCTCAGCTGTCCTCTGTCCCTTCCCAGCCCCCTCTGCTGTCCTGCAAGCTCTGGCAGTGGTCATCCAGCTTGGTGGCCATCTGACTGATCCACTCTTCCAGGTGGATCCTCTCTCCTCACATGGTGCAGGTCCCATTGCGCCACCTCCAGACAGGCATGCTAGCCCCCAGAGCTGCCCTTCCCTGCTACCCAGCCCCCACCCCCAGGTATGTGCCACCTCCCTAAAGCCCGCTGTGTTCACCAACTGTGTTTGAACTCTGTCTCTGTGCAAGGCCTCATAAAAGCCCGAAACAGCCTGGCTTGTAGTGGGCCAGGAGACCAAAACTTGAAGACAGAGTGGCAGAGTGAAGACAGAGAGACCACCTAGTCAGCCTCAGCCCCAGGGCTGTGTCTATGCTGGTCCTGGCTCCAGTGAGCCAGTTGTCTCCTGAGACGCCTGTAAGGGCTCCTGTGGTGATGGAGGTGGCTGGAGAGAACAGGCTGCCATAACCCTCCCTCCCTGAGAAGGCCCACTGGGGAACGTTTTAGGCTTTGGGGCATCCAGGGGAGCATCTTCCGGGGACCCCTCCTACACCCTGCCCCCTCCTTCACCCTGCCCCGCCCTGGCTCTCTCGTCAGAAATTGCAGTTGCTTGGACAGCGGGGCTGACCCAGGACAAGCGCATCTATTAGGCTGGTCTTCGGGGTGCTGGGGTGGGGGCAGGGGCGCTTCAGGGATAGGAAGGAGAGGCCTGTGTGTTCCAGAAGTACAGAGGAACCTGGTGCCGGCCGCAGTCAACCCTGATGTGATGATCTGTCCACCAACCCTCTTTGATGCCTTGGTGCTGGCTGCTGTCTTTGGCCAGGTAAGCTCATGGTCAGGGCTCCTGGGGTCCCCTCACTGGGCCTGCCCACTGCCTGCAGGTAGGGGAGCCTACGGGCCAGGACTATCCTTGGCTCCCCCTTCCAGGTCATGGGTTCAAAGACCATTCCTGGGTTCCACCACTGCCAAACGTCAATGGGCACAGGAGCTGCTGGGGCTTTCTGGGTTAAGACCCTTGCCTATCCCGGTGTCTCCCCCTGCAGTAGGGGGGCTGCAGGGGTCAGCCTCAGTCTCTGCCCTGGGAGCCTGCTTTACCTTGGCCTGTGCCCCACACCTGCCCTGGAAGACCCCCCACACCCTCTGGCTCTGATCCACTGTAGAGCAGCCAGGGCACCCGTTGCTCATACCCTCTGGCCTGAGGCTGACTGGCTCTGTGGCTGGGTTCAGGGGTTCAGGCAGGGGGGTGGGCCTTCCCTTAGCAGCCCCCATTCCCACTCCAACCCCTTTTTAGTCTTCCTCCTCTTGTGGGCTGTACCCTGGGGCCCTCCCAGCTCCTCACACCAGATGACTGTCTAAGTATCTAGAAATCAATATTTTAAATACCAACTTTGGATTGCTTCCTGACTTTTCCATATCCCCAAAGGGCCATCATTTCTCTTAGGACTGACAGTCCCTCCAGCCCTACTGGGCCAGACTAGGCAGGTGTAAGGGTGCCCTGTCCCAGCCCTCTTTGGGGCGGGCTTCTGTCCCCTTCCTGCTGCCTGGAAGCAGGACCACACTTTGGTGTCAGGAGGGGCAGCAGAGACTGTGGACCCCCGAGCTGTGCCTAAGTCCTCTGTGTGGTCTAGCTGTATTGGCCATCATTTACCACTCTGTAAAGAAGACCGATACCTGTGGCATGGAGGGCGTGAAGCTGGTGTGAGTGCCAAGCTCTTGGAGCAGGGCCCCGAGTGAGTGTGGACGTGGGAGCAGGGGTGTTCCTCAACTTCATGCACCTTGGGGATGGGAGTGGAGCTCCCTGTGTGGGTTGACAAGGCCTTGCTTTCCCCCACCCCATCTCTGCCCCAGCCCTGCAAGTCCAGTCCTTGGGGGTATAGGAGGGAAGAAGTCCCTGGCTGTGTGACCTTGGGCTGGACCCTGGCCCTCTCTGGTTCTGAGTTCCTGGGAAAGTCAGTGGTGTTGGAACTGGGGGACCTAAGGCAGGTAATCTCTTCCAGCCTCCTACCCTCAACCCCAGACAGTGCTTCAGGGTTGAGGCACTGTCTGTGGAAGCCGTGGGGCATGGTGAAGGTGGGGAGAGGAGAGGCTTGGAGTTTGGGTTTCAGCAGAGGGATCAGCAGCATGAGGAGTCACCTGTGTGTAGAGGAAAGGGAGTGAAGGCCAGGAGTGAGGAATGAGTCTGAGTGCACCCAGGATGGTGCTGCGTCTCCTCCCACATCCACCTAGCCCCAGGGAAGGGAGAAGAAAGGCTACGAGACAAAGGGGAAACTGAGTTGGGTCCATACATGTCCTTCCAGGACCTGGAGGTGCCACTGTCTGGCCCTCAGGCAGTGGGAAGTGGGGGAAGGAAGATTCCCTCCCCACACCTCCTCTTCTCTGTCCCAGGTCTCCTGGCCCCCTGTGCACCTAAGTTCAGTCTCTGTCGGCCCCCAGCATCATTTCTAGGGTTGGTGGGAGGCAGCTGGGAACAGTTTAGGGGTAGATGGGGCCTGTTTGGGGGAGTCTGCTTGACTGCCTGGGCCACTGCCCACAGTAGTGGGGAGCTTTTCTGGCACACTGACTGCACCACCCAGGCGCTGCCAGTAACAGCCCCCAGGGAGTGTTTGCAGAAGGCCTTGGTGGGCGGTGGGGGTGGACCCCACCCAGAACAAACACCTGGGGTGGAGTCAGGGAGAACAGCCCTCCACTTACCTGTCTGGAGGGTCCTCTGTACCACACTGTGCGTGTCTACACTCCCTGGCTGAACACACTGAGGGAGGCCCTCCACTTTAGCACCTTGACAAGAAGGGCAGGGACACCGGGATCAGGCCCAGCCCCCTGCCCCCAAACCTGCAACCCCAGCTGGAGGGTGAGGAGGTGCTGGGCTTGGGTTGGGGAATCAGGGGTGTAAAGGGGCCTGCTCACCCCTCAGCTTGGCTCAAAGTCTCAAGGTGTCAAAGGCTCAGCCTGCCCCTCAGAAAGGAGCCCGGACCCAGCCAGATACTCACCAGGACAAGGGTGAATGTGACGAGCAGGAGGCCTAGAATGAAGAGAGCCATGGCATAGC